TTTCTTGGGATGTTGAATCTCACCTGAGTGAACAAGCACAAGTAAAAACTGACAGAAACTAAATCATCTTTTTGATAAGTCTATCAATCCTGTCCCATTCTGCTTACAAAACACTAAAAGTTCCCAGATTACTGTTCTTTCTTTAAATCTTGTCCTTGAGCTTCTTTTGAAATTGTGAGTCACCCCCTAGCTTTCTTGTCAGTTTTCTTTTTCCTTCAGTTTTTTAAAATAATTTTCATACTGGGAGCCACTGGCTCACACCTGTAATCCTAGCTATTCAGAAGGCTAAGATCTGAGGTTCACAGTTGGAAGCCAGCCAATGCAGGAAAGTCAATGAGACTCTTATCTCCAATTAACCTCCCGAAAACAGAAGTGGTAGAGTACCCTAGCCTTGAGCACAAAACCTCAGGGGCAGTGCTCAGGCCCTGAGTTCAAGCCCCACAACTGACAAAAAAAAAAAACCAAAACCAAATGTTTATAACAGGGCTGGGAATGTGGCTAGTGGCCTAGCATGCATGAAACCCTGGATTTGATTCCTCAGTACCATGTGAATAGAAAAAGCTGGAAGTGGCACTGTGGCTGAACTGGTAGAGTACTAGCCTTGAGCAAAAAAAGCTCAGGGACAGTGTTCAGGCCCTGAGTTCAAACCCCAGGACTGGCTAAAAAGAAAACCAAAAAAAAAAAATGTTTACAACATATAATCTTGGTAAGAAGAATAAAATTGCAAATTCTAAAAGTTCCTTCAAGATGATCAACATAGAATTCGTAAATTGCATCTAACTGATCACAAAAGCATACTTACTTCTAGTTGTCTAGAAGTCATTGTTAAAGTGAAAATACCATAACATTTTGTCCAACTGGACTTACAATTTTTTAGGAATAAAGACTTCTAAAATCCTCAATATGTTATTTATGGATAACTGCTTAGAAATAGCATCTTATAAGATTTTTTCTTTTACCCTATTATTTACGAACAGAATAATAAGATTATAAAAATAAGCTTTTCTTTAAAAAAAAACTAAGAATTCTAAGTGTAAAAACAAAAAGCAGACTTTTGTCATGATTTGATGAAAAGTAGGTAATGAAATTTACTACACATTTTAATAGCTATTTAATTCCCATATTAAACATAATGTAATAGTATCTTGATTTTTCAATCCATGCTTTTGCTCATTTAAGAAAATGCAGGAAACATACATAATTTTTAAATGTATAATGGACAATGTGTATAAAACAATGTCTAGGAAAAAAATCAAAATTTATATAATCTACTGAACTGAAATTTTACTTGTCTTTAAGACCATTTTTATCATATATGACACAAATATGTCTTAATATTGAAAGGAAGGACTTTGATAGATTAAATAGAAACTTTTAGTTAAATATACAAGCTAGGAACATAGGAACATGGTTCTATTTTCTTTTGAATGGGACCATAGAGATCACTCAGACAACCCTTCAAGGTGAAATAAAAGAAAAATTCTTCGACTCTCAATATTCATCAGACATTCCTGTTTCTTAGATCATGGATATTCATTCTCCAATGGTTGTTTGCACTATCAATTAATAAATCAATCCCAAATTATCTATGTCAATATAATTAAATATATTATGGTTTATCGTACACCAGATGAACGTTGCATTGAATCAGTATAACTCAAGGCCAGAAGAGAGATCTATTAAATATAGATTTATTTTGGATCTCCTCAATTTTGAATAATATTGTCCAGTGAAGGATGCACAGGTCTGATGTTGAAATTCTAACATGCTAAAGAAAAGAAGACCCAACTCCTGATTTCAAAGTTTTTTATTAGGACTTTGCCATCAGACCAAGGTAGACAGTGAAAAATGATCATATATTCAGTTCCTTTGCTTGTTTCTATTGCCCTAACTAGTCACTTTTAAACTGTGACACTATTTCCAGGCTGTCTCTATTAGAACAAACAGTAAACTACTGGTAAGTAAATTCTATGACATCAAAAGTCTGCATATAGCAGAATTCATGTCCCTAGACAAGATTTCTCTCTTAATTAAATAAGCTGCCCTGCTAACCAAAAAAAAAAAAAAAAAAGTTTGGAATTATAAGCATAGATACTTTGAAATATTAGTGCTCAAAACCGCTTGTAAAAATTTTGCTGTAATTGAGCTAAGGCTGCAGCTGACATAACAAATGTCATGTGATCAACAAAATCTCAATATGGATGGCTTCTATGTTCTGGACTTTTGTTTCTCCATGCTGGAGTTTGAACCCAAGGCATTTTATATGCTAGGCAAGTATTCTGCTACTGAGCTACAGACCTACCCCTGCATGTCTTTTTAAGCAAATCAAGAATTATAATATCTATCTATATATATAAATAACAAAAATGAATAACCTAAAATACAGGAAAGCATTTTGATCACCATAATATTACTAATGTGCTCTATTCCACACAAGTGCTGGAATTCTTCATGTTTGCTACTTCTACAACTATAAACAATGTCGCATATTTCTTGGACATTTGGACTTTCTAGCAGAGCCTAGACATCAAATATGTTTCCTCAGACCTGAAATTCCATTTGGGGTTCAGGACTACTTTTTATCTCTACTTTTTTACCCTCTAATCAATGCTGACTTTCATTTAAATTAGACAGCACTAACAATGATAGATTTTTCACTACCTTGATAGTTCAGTCTTCTTGTGCTTCAGTCAGTATACAGTCTATGAGAAATTGCCAACATTACATTTTGGGATTTATAAATATTTTACCAGACAGGTAAGTCCTCACAGCATCCTGCAACAATCTACTGATAATATCCCTGAACTATAGTATTAATACTACTGTGTCTCAACATGCAGTTCTGCTGGAGATGCCAATCATATGTTTTCTTTTTCTATAGTGGAAACCTAAGTTCAAAATCTATATGAAATTTGCTTTAGAAATCAGGCATATAGGGCTGGGAAGGTGACTCAGTGGTAGAGCGCTTGCCTTGCATGCCTGAGGCCCTGGGTTCAATTCCTCAGCACCACATAAGCAAAAAGAAAAAAGCTGGAAGTGGCGCTGTGGCTCAAGTGGTAGAGCACTACTAGCCTTGAGCTGAAGAGCTGAGGGACAGCACCCAGGCCCAGAGTTCAGGCCCACAACCGGACCAAAAAAAAAAAAAAAAAAGAAATCAGGCATATACTATTGACATTATTGTATAACGAAGTAAAATTTCCTAAGATATTTTTCTGCTAATCATCTCTGAGCTTTTCTTTTTTTTTTTTGTCAGTCCTGAGGCTTGAACTTGGGCCTGGGCACTGTCCCTGAGCTTCTTTTGCTCAAGGCTAGCACTCTACCCCTTGAGCCACAGAGTCACTTCCAGCTATATGTGGTACTGAGGAATTAAACCCAGGGCTTCATGCATGCTAGGCAAGTGCTCTACCACTAAGCCTCATTCCCAGCCTGCTTCTTTGTTTCTTAAGAACTTCAAAGATCCATGGCCACAAAGAAGTAGGAGCTGGGCACCAATAACTTATATCTGTAATTCTAGCTACTGAGGAGACTGAGATCTGAGAATCATAGTTCGAAGCCAGCCATGGCAGGAAATTCTGTAAAACTCTTATCTCCAACTATCCAACAACAACAATAACAGAAAGCCTGAGAGGATCTCTGGCTCAAGTGGCAGAGTGCCAGCCTTGAATGAAAATGTTAAAGAACAATGTCCAGGCCCTGAATTCAAGTGCTACTACCAACACACACACACACACACACACACACACACACACACACACACACACACACACACACACACACACACACACACACACACACACACACACGAAGCAGGGATAGGGGTGGGTACCTGTCACCATATCTGCTATGCTTAGGGTATTTATCCTCTTAAATCTATATCTTGCCGACTTGTTCATGAAAGTTTATTAATTGTAACGAATTTAGTCAAAGGAGGCCTATGTTTTTTTCCAATTCTAAACCTCAGCTCTTTGACCTTTGAAAACTAGCAGGTTTTGGGGGGCTGGGAAGGTGGCTCAGTGGTAGAGTGCTTGCCTTGCATGCCTGAGGCCCTGGGTTTGATTCCTCAGCACCACATAAGCCAAAAGAAAAAAAAGCCAGAAGTGGCATTGTGGCTCAAGTGGTAGAGCACTAGCCTTGAGCTGAAGAGCTGAGGGACAGTGCCCAGGCCCAGAGTTCAGGCCCCATGACCGGACACCCCCCACCCGCCAAAAAAAAAAGAAAAAGAAAATTAGCGGGTTTTTTGTCAGTGAAAGCAATAGAACAAATTTAAGACCATTCATAAACACTGTGAGATGTCTTGTGGGCTGAGTACCACAAAGGTAATACAAGTTGTCTACCACATAAATGCAAACTGACATAAATGGAATAGAAAAGGGAGTATTTCAGAGAATAAAAACTCACCAAAATACAGAAATTGAGAGCTCTGATATGGCTCTCAGGTCCCTAATAGCAAAGTTAATATCTTTATATTACCAGGCTTATGAAATTTCAAATTATTTACCACAATTTTTATTTTCACATTTCTATTTATTTAGTTTTCATTTCCTTTCCTTCATTCCTTTCTTCTCTCATTCCATATTTCCTACTTTCCTTCCTTCCATTACTTACTTCATTTATTTAATATTAAAGGATTAGGTAATGCTTTACAGACTTTAATCATTCTATTTTCATTCATTGTTTCTCCTTCCTTAACTCTGTATATACCAACTGAACTGTCTTTCTGATCACTCAATGAAATCTTTAGGTAAATGCAGAACATAAACCATATGACATGGGGTATATATGTATTTACTCATAGTTAAATGAGCTATGTCATTCATCTAAGCATAATTAAACTAGTAGCCCACAGAAAATCATATGTATTTTCAAATTATATTAAATCTTTGTGCAACATGGAAAATAATTTTAATCCAAATTTTTCAATATAATTTACATGATTAATAAGTGGAACAGTTTACCCAGTCATTTTAGATTTACACAGAGAAAAAAAAAAGATAAGATACCTTGGATGCAATTACTAGTGCATTGTTCTGGATACTCTAGGTGTACATCCATTTAGCTGGCAGGCTAGCTGGCGGACTGAAGGTCTATCTCTGTCAGACAGCCAGGGTTGCAAAGTGGAAAGGGCACAAGATAAGGAGCCAGAAGATAAGATATCATCTCTGCCATATCCTTGGGAAAATCTTTCAGCCATTATTATCCTCAATCTTTTTCATCTGTAAAATAGAACAGAAATATCTTCTGGCCTAACCTGCTGAATTATTAGGAGAGTCAGCAGAGATAGTATATGTGAAAACATTTTGTAAATGTAAAAACATCTGTAGTATAATTTTACTAAAACAGTAATTGATCATCTCCCACTTTAAAGTCACATTTTTAGAAACTAAGACTATTAGTCATGGCAGTTCACATATACCCCAAAGCTAAATTTGACATAAAAATATGAAGTTCAAACCATGTGCCCTATCCTTAGGCTTGAAAATTATTCAACGTTTTCTAGAGCTAAGGTCAGTCAGCTGGTGCCTCAGGATGGTATCAGCAGCATGCTAATGATATTCAGCTTTAGTCCTGGACCCGTTTTTCCTGTGACCTCAATATTACAGTTTCAACTGTGACATGTTAAAAAGCTCGGGAGGCTGGGTGATAAGAAAAATGAAGCAGGATACAAACACCTGGAGCTCAGCTACTTTAGACAGGTTAACTCATTGTTAGATGTTGGAAGAGATTTTCAGCCATAGTTCTTGCTGCATATTTAAATTGAATTCCACCTTCAAATAAGCTGTAAACTAACCCTATAAGCAACAGAGGTAAGAAAGCAGTGTAGTTTCCCAGTTCAGTTATTTAAAACATCTACCACAGATTTAGTCTATGAATTAATACAATTTAATTTTATCACCAAGTATTTGATCTAGACAGAAATTATTTTCCAGAGGCACAGAGCACCATTGGAGGCTTTCCCATCTGTGGACAATAAGGGGCACAGCTCTTCTAGAACAGAAAGCTAGAACTAGAAAATGTTCAGAAAGAAACCTGCTTGTGAATGCATTATAACACTCTGATTGCCAGTAGTTAAAACTTCAGATTTCTGTTTTTAGGTATCAAAGCTGTAAGACAGGTTATTACAAATGATCTGATACTTTTCCTTTCTCCAGCCACTTCACAGCCACATTATATCTGGAAGCTAAGATATGGGCACATGACTTTCAGTGTTTCCAGTAACAGGTTGGTTTGCACCTTTAGATAAAGATGTCTGGGAAAGTCCAAATCTAATTTACCACGTTTCCTTTGTATTTTTCCATTTGCTTCCAATACTTTATAACACAACAAATCACACAGATTCACAGATCAAAAAGTAGAAGTAAATTTGCAAAATATCACATAATAAAGAATGAAAACTTTCAATTAAATCCAAGGCAAAGGAGTAAGAAATCCTACAACTTTATTTATTCTGCCTATTCCAACCTCCTGATATTTGTGTATTTATCCTGTTTAATTATTGTGAGCTTGGTCATATAAAACTACTAATTAAATATTTGGCTGCGCCTCCCAGTAATGTTTTAAATATAGCTTGAAACAAAGTTATTATAAAAATTTTTCAGTTATTGCTTTAACAAAAGCCACAATATTATTAGCAAATGGAGGCCTAATAAAGCTTTGACTTGTCCAAGTACCTTTCACAATCAATAGGAAATTCAGAGTTAAAACCATCTTTTTAAGGGTCCCTCACAGTATTGGTATCTCATGCTTTTCCTCAAATTAGAAAGGAAGGCAGTCAGCTCTTAAATTAACTGCGATGAAATCACTATACCTAATGCCATGTAACTGACTGTACTAAAACCTAATTTTATCATATTGTTTTAGGCTCTTTACTTTCTTAATGATTTTTCTTTTTCTTACTTATGCTTCAGTAACTGCTCAAACAGCAAAGATGGCAGTAACAAACAAAAATGAAAAACAAAAACAGAACCCAGAAAATCAATGATGCTAATCTCTCAATACAACAGTACTGGTCATAATCTAGAATACATTGTTTTAAAATTTATTAGCAATCCTTTCAATATCTATCTTTCCTATAAGTGAATTGAGATTCTAGACATTGCTTGTCTTCTTTCTAATGAACATATTTAATATATTTAGCTCAATAATTTTTATGGTCCTTCCAATTCACAGAAGAAAGGCAGTCACTGGCAGTTCTGTTCTAGTACATGTACTACTAGTTGGCCTCAATCCTGACCTAGAAAGAATATCTTCAAAGCTGAAAATTCATTTAGAGTCAGTTCCAGGTCATTCATTGGCATTTTTGCTGAAGAGATCTATTAATGCCAACCTCAATAGAAATAAATACATAGCCACTAGGAATTGGACCAAGATCAACAGTCACTTAAAATGGCACAAACAATTGCAAAGCCTAATCACAAACCTACCAACTCAACATTTTGTATAAATGGCAATTTTGAAACATTGCAGAAAAAAAAGTCCCACAAAAGATAAAGAGCTGAAGCATTGAATTCAGAAAATCAAGTCAGTATACCACTCAAATGAGAGTATCAGAAAACACCAAATATAAGGCTTTGATAATGCAAGCTGGTACAACATGCAGCATTTCCCTACGAATTATCTTTTATACCTGGCATAATGTAAGATATAAAGATATATTTCTAAATTTTGTGAAAATCTTATTATCCAAAAAAGCAACAATAAGCTAACAATATTAAAACATGACTAGCTCTCTTCCCGGTCAATTTTTTAAAACATTTTCAAACATCTCTGTAGATGGAGAGATTTATAGGATTTTCAAGCAGCACAGGATATTCCTGACAATAAATTCTAGCAGAATGATTGTCATTTATTCTTATTTTTCAATATCAAAAGTGATGGCAATTTTTAAATTACCTAACTACATTAGACAATCATATTGAAAAACATACTCTTTGATGGTTTATATATTAATATGGCAGACATGTTTTTGCACTCAGAACTGGGTTATAAGATATTTCTAAGGTCTTGCCTAACATCATAAAGAAGCAAGTCAAAATTAAAAGTCTTCTTGTAGCTTACAGATAGAGAGACTACTTGTGTTTTCAGTTGACCAAGTGTTGCTTCTGCTACAAGGTATGTGTAAGGTATATTAAATAGGTAGGTTTCATTAGGTAGCTGATGAAGAGAACACCACAAGCTATTCAGGAAGGAAAAGAAGTTTATTTACCGAACGCATGGCTAAAAAGGAAAGGAGTGGGGGTCCAACTTCTGGGCCAGGATTTATCTAGGCCAGGGACAGGAAGAGGTGTGGCCAGGTGGGGGAAAGGTGTGGCCACACTGGATCTGGATGTGACCTCAGGGTCTGGGACCCTCCTAAGGTCAGATGGGAGGCGTGTGACCAGAGGTGGCCCAGGATGTGACCTAGTAGGAGGGGAAGGTGACTGCTTCCAGTTCTGCCAGTTACCTAGGTAAGAGATATGTAGAGACTTAGCCAAGAGGGAGGGAAGTATCCCTGTGAAGACCTTACAGTATGCTGAATATTTTTACAGTGAAAGTAAGTGATGAGGGGAAGAAGGCCAGGACTAGGTAGGAACAATGCTGGGAGAAACTGACCCAGCTACAGGACTGGTGCCCATAGACTAGTATTTACAATCAAATGACTAGTACAAAGAGCACAGTGATCCTCAAGCTTGACTGCAGTCATCATTAGTGTGTGATTCACTGAGCCCAGCAAAATGTAGTTTCAGGAACTAGATGATTTGACTAGGACAGAAAAAGCTGTCATTAGAACCTGTATCAATCAGAGTACTAGAAGTAAGCATCTGTCACACTCAAGTGAGGATAATTCAAGGAAGTTTGATAAACAGATATGGTATTTCTAAAGGGTAAAGTTGGATTACAAAGGAGAACGCCAATACTCTGCACCAAACTAGGCTAAAATCATCCTTGTAAAACCAAGAAAAAAAACAAATCTGAGTAACTCTCTAGCTTTACTTGTTTTTTATTATTTGCTTTATCAATATAGCTAGAGTTCACATACCTATACCATATGAATTAACTTGGCTATAGATAACAAAATTCTGAAGTGGCTGGAACTGGAACTGGTTAACAGAACTTGGATGTAGCTCAAACTGGTGACCCTTCATTTGAGTCTGCAAAAGTGTCCTATGATATCAAAAATGTCCTTTTGATGTCAGAGGGTCAAAATTCAACCCTCAGAGTATACTAAGCTGCCCTTCTCTAAGCATGCATCCAAACAGCCATGTTTAATTACACATGCATAAACCACCAATGACATCACTTTTCTTTATCTCTAGTTGTCTTCCCCTACCTGTGTTTCCATAATTACTGCTAAATCCTATCCTCAGAGAGGTGGATTTGCTCTCTGGTCTTCACACATTGCCATCTCCCAAGTAAGTGCTTTCTCTTCAGGTCAGTAATTGATATACTGTAGAATTAGCAAAAAGTTCAACAACTGTAGGCCTAGTGGGTTGAATGGAAATTCTTGGAATCTGAATGCAAAGGACTGCCTAGAGAGGCAAAGGCCCGCCAATGGCAGGTGGACAGCTCAAGGTAACTTCAAAGACAAAAAGCTAGTGGTAATGAAGACTGCTGTCTAAGTCTCTCTTGAATCTTCTGGTAGGTTTCCCCAATTTTCCAAATTCAGCTAGAAGCCAGAAGATATAGACCGATAAACTTGTAAAAGGGTAACTACTTTGGAAAGTTACCCTTGGTAAGGTTTGTTTTCCTTTTTACCTTTTGGGTTTTGAGACAGGGACTTACTGATGTAGCCCAGGCTGCCTCAACAGAACCCATCCTCTGGCCTGAAGCCCCCACTTCCTCACCCCTCAGATATGATTACAGGCTTGAGATATGATTACCACACCCGGTTTGGCCCAATTACTTTTGCTTCTTTTCCCTAATCCTTTTCCTTCTCCTCCCTTTGCCCTCCAGCTCCTCCCTAATCCTTTTGCAAGGTTTATGTACTTGACATTCTGAATTCTGAGAAAAGCCCCACCTTAACCACTCAATAATCTGTCTTTAAATTTACTGAACCTAGAACATCTAGTGACCTTTGGAACACCATTCCTTGGTTTTCAAGTTCTATGCATCAACTTAACACAAAGCACACAAATTACTGTGAAGTTTAACTCAACAAACAGCTGTCTAAAGAACTTCAGGAATTAGCCCCAGGAGGCCAAAGTCCATTGTGATGTGACCAAAAAGGAGAAA